CTTCCCCATGACAAACCCAGTATGACACTGTCCTTCACTGTCAACTGTACGCAGATAGACTACTGCACCTATAGCTACAGTGGAGGCGTCGCAGAAAATGCATAGTTCTTTCACTTTTGTTGTGCTTAACGTACCTGGGCTGTAGCACCTTGGTATTTGGAGGTTCTCAAGGGCTTTCAAAGAGTCTTTCCATGAGTCCCACCTCTCCTGCTTCTCAGGGGGTAAGAGTGTGTCCCAGTCTTTCCCATCAGATGACAGTTCTCTGAGTAATGCTTTGCCCTGCATTATTATAGGAGCAGCAAATCCCAAAGGGTCATAGAGACTATTAACTGTCGACAATACTCCCCTCCGTGTGAATGGTTTGCTCTCATTTGATACCTGGTAAGTGAAGCTGTCAGATTGTAGGTTCCAACAGAGTCCCAAGCTTCTCTGAACTGGAAGAGGGTCTACTCCTAGGTCTAAATCTTTCAGGTCCTTTGCACGGTCCTCAACAGGGAAAGCTTCCATGACTTGACTGCAGTTTGATGCCACTTTGTGAAGGCGCAAGTTAGACTCTGCTAACATGTTTTGCGTTCTTGTGAGCAGGTTGATTGCTTCCTCTGGCGTGGCGACTGATGTGAGCCCATCATCAACATAAAACTGGCGCTCAACAAGACGTCTTGCGTCGGATCCGTGTTCTCGTTCACCTTGTTGTGCTGCCTGTCTCATGCAGTAGATGGCCACAGCGGGCGACGGGCTGTTTCCAAACACGTGGACCTTCATTCTAAACTCGACTATGTTCTTTGTAATGTCATTGTTCTCATACCACAGATAACGCAGATAATCTCTGTGGTCTTCCCGTACAACGAAGCAGTAAAACATGTGCTGCACGTCAGCTGTCAGGGCTATGGGCTCTTTGCGGAAGCGCAACAGCACTCCCAACAGGGAGTTGTTCAAATCAGGTCCGCCAAGAAGCACTTGATTGAGCGAAATTCCATCACACTCTGCACTTGAATCGAACACAACTCGTGTTTGTTGTGGCTTCTGTGGGTGGTATACACCAAATGTAGGCAAATACCAATGTTCTTTATTTTCTGGCAGAGGCGGGGCAGGCTCGGCTTGATCGTTGTCCAACATTTTTTGCATGAATTGGATGTAGTGATCTTTCATTTCTGGTCTCTTCTCTAAAGTCTTTCGGAGAGAGCAGAGGCGTTTCAGAACTTGTTCTCTGTTGTCAGGCAGCCTCCTTCTCGGTGAGCGAAAGGGTAAAGGTGCAACCCAGCTGTTCTCTTGGTTTTGATAAACTTCGTTGTCCATTATTGTCAGGAATGCTTCGTCGTCGATAGACATGGCTTGTTTGTTATCACCCTCAGATCTAACAAACACAGAGTGTCCTAAATCATCTGTCACGCAGGTTGCATTCATAGTGACCCCGTAATTCTCTTTAACGTGAATTGTGTTTGGGCAAGGCTCAAAATAGGACGCACGTCCATTATCTAAGGTGTGTGTTTTGTAGACATTGACCTCTGACTGACTGTGCGCTTTTCCTAGACACACCTCCCCCACAATAACCCAACCTAGGTCTAGCCTTTGGGCGTACAGTGCATCATTGGGTCCGTTGATTTGCTCACGCACCTTATGGACCCTGAGGACGTCCCTTCCTAGGAGCAAAAGGATAGGGGCGTGGTGGTCGACAGGTGGGATGTTATCTGCAACTGAAAGAAGATGTGAGTGATGCTGGGCAATCTCTGGGGAGGGTATTTCAGATCTGTTGTCTGGCACAGAGTCACATTCAATTAAAGGAGGTAGCTAGATGTTGACTTCTCCATCCAAGGACTCGAGGGAGAAGTTTACAGCTCTCCTACCTGAGGTTTGTTCTCTGCCAGAGCAAGTCTTTAAGGTGTATGGTGTGGGTCGGGCATTGATTTTGAAAAGGCTGAAAAACTCTGACTTAGCCAGTGACCTGTTGGACTGATCATCAATTATTGCATACATTTTTACAGCTCTCTCTTTTTGGCCTGTGGGATACACTTTGACTAAACTGATCTTAGAACATGAACGTGGGATATCACTTTGGCCACATACTTCTGTGCACCTCGACTCGACTGCAGGTGAGCTCTCAGTTTGCTCTTCATTGTCGTTGTTTCCTGGTGTAGTACTCTTAGGGGCAGGAGTAAGACCGGGATGCATTGCAGATAAGTGTTTAAGGCTGTCACACTCGATACACTTAACCACTGTTTTACAGTTTTTTGCAATGTGTTGGACAGACCCACAGCATCTGTAGCAGATGTTATGCTCTTTGAGATAGGCTTGTCTTTCTTCAATGGGTTTGTCTCTAAAAAGCTTACACTTTTTGAGTGGATGTGGTTTTTTGTGGATTGGGCACTGGCGATCTGGTTCCTCCATTTTCTTTGGACTGAGATTATTTTGGTCCGGCTCTGCTGTGATGACCATTTTGTGTGCTGACACAGTAGGTTTACGATTATATGCCCTCAGTTTTTCTGTGGGAGAAGGGACGTGGGTGTTGGCCTTGGACGTAGCAAAGCTTGGGTCATTCTTCATTTTCGCCTGCCGTTGGACAAATTGTGTGAAAACTGGGAAAGGAGGAAATGACACACTATGAGTCTCCTTGTACTGTGTTCCTACAGTTGTCCACCTTTCCTGTAGGTTGAAGGGAAGTTTATCCACTATTTGCCTGACTCCTCTAGCTGTGTCCAGGTAAGCAAGTCCCGGGAGTGCGCCATCTTGTTTAGCACACTGTAGCTCTAATAAGATGTCACTAAGTTCTTGCAGCTTAACATCGTCTTTATTTGTGAGTTTGGAAAAATCCTCTACCTTTTTTAAGAGTGCGTCCTCAATAGCCTCAGGTGAGCCGTAGCACTCTTCAAGTCGTTGCCAGATCATCTTTGCACCTGCAGCAGGATTGAGGGTGTGTACAGCACGAATCCGCTTAGCCTGTTCGGATGATGTTGGACCCAACCATTTTGTTAGCAAGTCTAATTCCTCTTTTGGTGACAGATTTAAGTCTTTGGTTACGCTGATGAATGAAGCTTTCCATGCCCAATAGTTTTCAGGTTTGTCATCAAATTGTAAAAGACCTGTGCTGACTAGCTCTTTGCGAATTAGGTATTTTGCAAACTGTTGCGTTTCACTTGATTCAGGTAAGCAGTTGTTAAGTTTGGTTATAAACGGATTAGTTATTTGCGTACTGTCTTGTACATCTACTTCATTGTCATTCCCTTTAGGAGGCTGTGCTGGGTCGTGCTGAGTGTCTGGGTAGAGTAACTCACGTTGTTGTTGAACATATTCGTTAGTGCGGTGCACTGAACTGATGGGCTCAACTTCCTCACAAAGTTCTCCATAGGGCTCCCCGCTCTGAATCTCTGCTTCTTCATAGGCTGAGGCCTCTGCTTCAGCTGCGGCTATTGCTTTTTGGCACTGGAGGACATGTAGATGGGCATCCAGTTCAGCTCTCTGTTTCATTGCATTGGCTTCCTTTTCAGTGAAGGCCAGTTGAGCTCGTGCTGCTTGAGCTTTGGCGTAGGCCTTTGCAGCTGCAGAAGCTGTTGATGAGGATGTCCGTTGAGACCGCCTTGTCGATGGTTTGGATTGCTGCGACTTGGTGTCGAATGGCTGAGACTGCTGCTGCATTGTCGCTGGTTGAGTGGCGGCATCTCGTTGCTGTTCCTCACCGGCCGCTTTGTCTAGCCCTTCAGCAGCGTAGTCTTTTAGATAATTTCTTCCTGAGCGTAAATTCATGTTGCTTAAAGTAGCTCTGTATGCTTGAACCGCTGAGTAGACGTCTTTTTACTGTGCTGCCCTCAAGACACATGACCATGTGAAGCTAGACAGCCAGCGAACAAAATAGACGAGATCTCCACACAAGGCTTGCTTTTCTTGATTTTACTGAAGATCTTTTAAGCCTTAAGGCATCTCCTTGCTATTTCTTATTTGTAACTGAAACATACAGAAAGTGAAAATAAATCGCTAGCTAATACACATCTTAATAAGAACTTAAAGATTAGCCTAGCTTAACACATACGTTACATTAGCATCACAGTTCACTCCATGTAAACACATATAAAGGTTATTTCTGAACACATTAATACTTACAAAGACGAACGTTTCCTAAAGGTACAAGCGTGTAGGGCACTTATAGCGTGTACATGAACTTATTCACTGTTTTAATACTGCCGAAGCACTTTTCACAGCGTTTGCGGAGAAAAAACGTCAAAGATAGGTGAATGATCGGAGCGCTCACTCGCTCCCATTTCCGCACGTACAATACAAAGATCGCTTGTGACAACGATGTCTCACTCGGAGCAAATTTCAAACCCACACATTTTGACAGTTTTTTTTAGCATAAATCACACATTTCTTAACTTTGAAATTATTTATCACCTTGCTTACATAACTTAATCAGATTATGCACTAACTACTGACTTTTGACCAAAAGGCATAACAAAGGTCATACGGACAAAGTCCGGAATATTTCCGTTTTTCATGGCCTGTCTGAAGGAGGCTTAGATGTCACTTTGGTGATTTCATCAAAAACAGAGTAAATAAACTGCCTAAAGCCTGAGGGTACACTGGAATGCATCCATGCAGTTGTCAAGAAAGCTTGGACAGAGTCAGGGGCATAGGAATGAGTTTAATATTGGGGGGGGGGGGGGTCATCAGTACCCACATTTGACAACAGGATGTCATCCTTACAAGTTGCACCTTTAAGGAATTACTGTTTTTGAAACCTAAACATTTGTATTAACGGTCTTGTTTTCGACTCAGCTAAGTGAGTTTTTATAATGTGAGGGAACTTGCTTAATGACGATCAATTAATTCCTGCATTAAAGCTTAATAATAAAATTCTCACAACAAATAAATAACCGTCTTCTGTGGAGAACGCCGGGTGAGTGAAATCATTTTATTTGTGGGCCATCACTGTCGGAGAGCATCGTGTGCACTTCACGGACAGAAGTTCATTTCTTCAAGAAAAAGACAAAATGAGTTAAGAGTCTGGAAACTGACAGCAGATTATCATTTATTTTTCTGTTATACGTCCTGCAGCCCAAATTTCGTACTTTCACTAAAATGACTCAAAACTGAAAAAGAGAAAAACGTATCTGTTAATACAAATCTGTTCCCTGGAAAAAACTCATTTGCTGTAATGTCAGGAAATAAAATGTTAAATCATACACTGGAAATGAATAAAATCTCATATAAAATCAGAATATATGTCTGTGCATGACGGCGTTGTTTAAACCAGAAAAACATAATAAATTATGATAAAATTGTCATCTGGTTAGTTACATAGCAATATACAATTAGCACAGCAACACAAAAGAAAACAATTACCATCATGAATATATTTTCTACAGGCGTCTACATTTACTTACAGTCCTATAAACAACTGAAACCAAACCAAGCACAAAGTTGCCACTCATTGGCTGCCATAGATGCTTGCCCCTGTACAATCAATAAAAATATTTACAAATCCAACAAATATTCTACACATCTTAAAAAAATAAAACTTGATGCAAGTTAAAGAAAAAAGCAAGGAAATCTTGACCCCATCCAAAAGGCCCTCAAGGTTGGTTAGTACAAAGTAACAGCTTGGATAGAAACTGAACGTCTGGTACACACTCGTGTGTGTGTGTGTGTGTGTGTGTGTGTGTGTGTGTGTGTGTGTGTGTGTGTGTGTGTGTGTGTGTGTGTGTGTGTGTGTGTGTGTGTGTGTGTGTGAGCAGACCAACACCCTGCAGAAATACAATCAATGACTTTCCTAATGCACCATAAGTAGCTTAAATAATTGTTTTTAGCGGACTGACTGGGATTGTTTAAAACTTAACAGATAATTCAGAGATGGTTCTCCATCCAAAATGTCTTCAATTGATCTTATTCGTTCTTGTATTTGACATCTGCAGTCCCATTAGTGTCTCCATTCAAGTCGGTGAACTTGAAGAAAAGAGTCTTTGAAACAGAATTGCTGTTTTTTTTTTTTTTAAAAAAGGCACAGCCTGCTGAAGGAGCACTGCTGCAATTGTGGCGGACTACTGCACCCTCAGCATTCCCTTCTGGCCTTCAGATGGAGCTAAAAAATAAACGATTCCGTGCAGGGGAAGGAAAAGTACCATTCATAAGACGGACGTGCAATGTTGCGTGTCGGTTTCTATTTTTGCAGGAACAAAAACTGGAGACGTGTCTGTGCAGGAATGTAAAGCGGAGTGTGTGTGTGTGTGTGTGTGTGTGTGTGTGTGTGTGTGTGTGTGTGTGTGTGTGTGTGTGTGTGTGTGTGTGTGTGTGTGTGTAAGCGCTGCTCCCCAAACTCATTTCCATGTACACAGTGGATGATCTGCCTTGTGGGCTGTGAATGCATAATGGAATTGTATAAATATGTTCATGCCGACGTGTGACTATTACAGTTTCTGTCAGAGACAAAAATGGAGTAACAGGCCTCTGTCGTAGACATTTAACTCTCTTTCAGCATAGCAGGTAATGTTATAACCGATAACATAGACAGGTATAATCCAGTAAAGCTGTGTGCTGTGCATGTGAATGCATCACTTGTTAATATCAAAGTGTTAACAGCCTTCGTGAAATAACATGTTTGTATGTATTCTTTAAAATCAACAGCTTTCCCTCTACATTCTGCGAAGTCCATCAATGGTTTACAAATGTTTCTTTAAAAGATTTCCGAGTAAAATTATAAATATTATGATGCATGATCATAAAGCCATGCAGCGTGGAGGGAGCTCTCTAAACGACGGGGATGCAGGCAATTTGTGCAGCACACCATGCTGGGGTGTTAGTGTTGAATAGCTACACAAAAGAGTTCAAGGAGTTCATGGCGTTTATGGGAGACGGGGCCTCTGAGCTCTCAGGGCCCTCGGTATTGTCCCTGCAGGAACTCTTCCCACTATACTGGCCAATAAAGGAGCCGTCTTCGTTGAACTGTCCATCTCCTCCTTCACCGTAGTCAACTAAACTGTCGTCACTGTCGTCTCTCTTAACTGTCCCGTTAGAAGGTGTGCGGCTCCCTTTTAATGGTTTGTGGTCCTCATTGTCACTGAGGGAGAAAATAACATGCAGATGTTACAGGTGAAGATGGAGTGACAGATGCAGCAGGTACAGCTCTGAGAAAAAGTTTTCATTCCCGCAAATATTTCTTCTGTTGCTTTTCTTGTCACACTTAAAGCAGCAATCCGGAGTTTACCCCTCACAGGAATGCTGTGTTATTTTTTAGAAACCTAGGTTTTTAGGTTTTCCTGGCTGATCTGAACCATTTACATGTGACAAGAAAGCAAAAACAGAACAAACTGGTTAGAAGATGAATGTTTTCTCTCAGCACCATCGTTTAGTGATCACTTTTTAAGATGAAGCATGCAAATGCCAATTATTGCATTACATATTTCTAATGAACTTGCTCTATGTCTATATATAAAAAACCAAGTTATGAAGTACGTGGTTTCTATCAGGCAACTGGGGAATAAAGCTCAAGCAATCATATTCTGTTCAAATTCCCCTTGAAACCAAACATGAAGGTGGAAAATATGACAAAAGCATTCCCCCTTTAGACAGAAGCTGTGATGAAAAACAGAAGACCCGGAGCAATGGAGTGAAGAAGACTTTAGGAGCACTTTTTCAGCCAGACAACCCTCCACTCAAAGCAAGCACGAGAATAATTCCAACTTGGAAAATATGCATGATAGGTTTGCAAAGAAAGTCTTCTTTGGCTGTCAGATAATCAAAAACACGACACAGTCATGAGTTAAACATTAATGAGACACGATCACAAGGCCATCATAATGTCAGCAGTTCTTTAATCGAATAAAAGTATCTACTAGAAGATCAGTGGCACGCTATAGCCAGACGTTTTAGTAGAGAGCGGTTTTAATAAGCACCAACATGATGGAGGCTCTATGATCTGATAATAAACTTAATGACAGCTTTTTTCTCCACAGTGACTTCAGACCGTCCCTTTAGACACCATCTCCCTCCCTTACCTTCACCTTTACCGGGACCTAAACACCTGATGAAGACATCTCACTGAAATCCCACACAGTCACTGCTGTTTGTTCATTTGAGGAGGTTTTGGTGATTGTACGCAGACAACGCAACATTAGCATATCTTCTTCTTCTGCAGTCAGAAAACTACAGACTAGATGAGTCAAGCTTTTATTTATGTAACTGAGCAAAATAAAAATAAAAACAGCACAGACTATGTTATTGTTCAGTTTTCCTTGTGGTTTGCTGAATGTGACTTGATGTCCTTAGGGTTGGTCCTCTTGCAGGCACAACAAAACATTGACTGTTGCGACTACATGTTGTTGTTTTTAAAAAGACCAAAACCAAACGCAAACTGATGCCCCTGAGAGACGCACTGTTGTCTGTAAAGCAAACCCGTAGTTTATTTATGCATCTAAAGTGCTCTTCAAATAAAAGTAAACCAATTAAATCAGTCAAAAACTTCCTAGATATTAATTATGTCACTATATAGTAATTGCAACTAGCACATGTAGATCTTCCACCAGAGGGTCTGTTTAAGAGAAGATCATAATCTAACACCAAGAGATCAGAACATAAGAACAAAGTTGAGCCAGAATGTAAAAGTGCACCCCCTAGTGGCTGGCTGCAGTATATGTTTTAAGTCCCACCCCTTTCTGTACGTGAATGGAACATTTTCCTTTAATAACAAAATGAAAGTTCTCCTCAGATGCATTTTTGCAGATGTTAACTAATGTTGGTTCACATAGTTCTAACTTTGATTATGAAGATTTTTTTAAGTCTCATTGGTTATTGCATGTGCGTGTGTGTGTGTGTGTGTGTGTGTGTGTGTGTTTGTGTGTGTGTGTGTGTGTGTGCGCGAGTGTGTGTGTGCGTGCATGTGTGTGTGTGTGCGTATGTGCGTGTGTGTGCGTGTGTGTGTGCGCGTGTGTGCGTATGTGTGTGTGTGTGCGTGCGTGCGAGCGTGTGTGTGCGTGTGTGTGTGTGTGGGCAGGACTTCATATTATCGCTCATAACCAGATTTGTTACAGCAAAGTTTTTGACAAAACAGCTAATCCTGGAAAAGAGGTTGAGCTTTTACAATAACACTACTGGATTAAATAAGTGAAGCTTTCAGGTTATAATCTTGATATTAACACCAGCTCAGTGGCCTAGTGGTATGAGTGTCTGCCCTGAGCCTGGGAGTTCGTGTTCAAGACCACAGACGGGTCATACCAAAGACTTAAAAAATGACACCCAATGCCTCCCCGCTTGCAGCTGTAAGGGGCTGCATTGGGGGGTTAAACCACGAAACAGTTCTCAAGCACGGCTGTGTCTGCAGCTGCCCCAGAGGATGGGTCAAATGTGGAGAACAAACTTCTCACACAAGTGTGTGTGAGACAACTAGTGGGACTTTAGCTTTAGAACTCATTGAATACCACATATGGTCTTAAAACAACATTTTTAGTGATTTTTCATTAAAAGAAAAAAAGGAACTGACTTTCCTCACCTATTCAACCAACTAACTATTTGTGAAATAAAATAAAATAAAATAAAACTAAAAGTATGCCTTTGTGGCTTGATTTGAAGAGCTTCAGAGAATATCGGCTACATACAAAGATAGCCGATACTTAAAAATCAGGCATCAGTTGCTGGTTTTGATCTTTTCATGGAATTTACAGTCATGATAAAAAAATTTAATGTTATATTTTTCCTTGTAAATGACGAAAAAAAGCAACTTTCCTGCCAGAAACCAGTTCATACAGTCAGGATTGCTTCCCTGAAACATGCTTTTAATGTCACATTACATCCATAGGTATCCATATAACACACTTCTATTTTTGCACAGTATTTCCATTCAACACGTTATTGCCTAAAGCAAAATAAATGTTATATATCCGTGCATTATACCTACAGAAAATAACTTGAACATCTTTATTTATGTCTCCATACAAAACAGAATATAATACAAGATATAAAAGCAAGACTATCTTATAAATTGTCTTTTAAAAACAATATTCAAAAAGCATAGATATACAGAATTAAAGTGCTTGTTTTCTTTTACTTTTTTACTCAGCGTGCGATTGGAGGAACAGCCCACGAAGAAGATGTTGGCGAGCACAGCTGAATACCCGCTGAATGCTAGTTTAGTGCTTTTCTGTCCTATCCAAGTCAAGTCAGCAGAAATGTGTTATAGGCATAATGTTAATGCTATGTGTTCTGTACATACAATGTTTATGGATAGCTTATTAGTCGGAATGAGATTCAATGATTGCAATTGGTTTAGCTTTTGTAACAGTCACATTTAAACCTTCCAAGCATTAAATCTCTTAAACCTGAAGAATCTCCTCAAATGACCTCCCGATGTCACATCAAGCTAACACAACTGTCCAACATAAATGGCAGTCAAGACATCCCAAAACCTGGAAGAAAAGACAAAACCATCCCGTCCTTCTGTGTGGTAGAAAGTCAGAACTGTGGCACTTCGTCTTGGGAGTTTCTGTTATGGATGGATTTGGGTGATTTAGCGATCAGCTGTGACAGTTGAGTAGAGGAAGGAAGTGAAGCCAGTCAGAGAAAGAGAGAGCAGATCTGGGCCAGAAGTGGGTACAGGGCAAGGGTTTATGGGTACAAAAAAAGGGCACTTGGGACCCACGGCACCTTCTCTCACCTGTATTCCACAAAAGTACAGTCATCGTCTTTCATTGGCTGGAACTCAGGGTCTGTGTGAGCGTCTTCTTTTTCTTTCACTGGTGGGATGAAAAAAAAAGATTTTTTTATGTTTTTGTAATAAATGCCAACTGCAGGAAGGAAAATTATGTCCAAGCAAACTATTTATTGTGATCTATATAAATAAACGGCAGTAAAAGTGTGCTTTGTTACCCTAGTAAGAGACAAAACTCCCATTATACAGGCAGGGCTAGTTTATTCCTGCACGTGTGGCGTTTGTGTCGTAGCTCACCGGGGTATTTTCCTCCTTTATTCCTCTGAATGAAACAGATGATGAGAAGAATAAGGATGAGCAGGGCGATGGCGCACATGAGGCCAATAAACCATCCTTGAGTGGCGATGTCCACCTGTCTGCTAGCCACAGCTGGACGAAGGACAAACAAACGTGAAAACTGGAACTGGAATCCCATTTCTTCTCTTTTCCAGTGACAGGGAATAAAATCCCTTCTAGTTATGAGCTGAAAGGGTTGCCGATTATTTTTGCAGACATGGTGGCAATTAGTAATTTCATCATATCAGATAAACAAAACTGTGTACTGGTACAAAACATGTTAGATGAGTTAGAAATCTCTGGGATTTAACAAAAATTGCTTTAACTGGGTCAGTGAGTGTGTCAAATGTAAGAGTAAGAGTCCATGAATAGTGACAGACACACAGAGACAACATTCACACCCATACGCACGTTTACTGTATGGACTTTACTTCTATATTAGAATATCCAGCTTAGATCCAGGCTACAGACATTGATTAAACAGCAATCAAACAAAACAAATCATGCAAATTCCTACAAAAGTTCTACATATGTCACGGCGTGAGGCCAGTCCGAGGGTGAGGCTTCGCCCCAAACGAGTGCCTCACCTGGGAGCGTGACAAAAAGCTCCTCGGAGTGGAGTGGCTGGTCGTGGTGACCCTTGGCCACAACTCGCACCCTATAGGAGAGGCCGACCTTTAACCCTTTCAGCTTAACGTTCTGAGAGCCATTCACAAGCTCTTTCTGCCACTCCTCTTCACCTTCACCTGCAGGAGGGACGTTGATGAATAAAGGCACGTGTGAGGGAGCCATGGGGTTTGTGACAGCGTGCAAACTGCATGGTTGATTTGAAACACTAGTGACGTGGTGCTACATTGTGTGAACCTTTAATGGGTTTCCAAAGTCCTACAGGTCTGAATGAACAGTGGCGGTGGCCCTCAAAGCTCAAAGCACTGCAGTTTCAAAAAGAACAGACTGAAGTCTTTATGAAAACACAGCTCAGCGCAGAGCAGCTGAACGTGGCAACCAACACAAAGGTAGCGTTCGTTTTCTAAAAAATACCCAAATAAATAAAAAATACTTTTGCTACTTATAAAAAGTGTATTTAACGCTATTAATCATTTTGTATTTCATATTTATTTTACAATTTTTTTTTTTTATGAAATAGCTACTCACTTCAAAATCAACTGAATCCGTCCCAAAATTATAAACATGCTAGTTTCACCTTTTTTAGGTTGGTAATTTTTATACCTTTTATGTTTCTACGAAATCGAGAACATTCCGGCTGCTATAGAGACAAAAAATGTCTTTTGACTCAAGATTATTCTCAGACTTGTGAACATATCAGATCAAAGCTGTGAAGCTGTGCTTTAAGTCAGACGTTTGTGTCTGGCTCTAACTCCGATGCCTTGAAAATACCTGCGTTATTAATCATTTATTCTTCTTTTGATCCTTATTTTATAAGCATGTGAACTGTCAGGGCCACCGTACATGTGGGAATGAGCTATGTATATGAAATGCTTCATGACTGATGATCACAGGGTTATGTGTTGCACAACACTGTCCATAAGAGTGGGATCTACCATTATGATAATCCCTAACAGGATGGATTCAACAGTAGGAGTGAGAGAGTCCTACAGCAGAGCACTTCACCTTGCTGCAGGTGGATAAAAGCAACAGGAACTCTCCAGTCAGCTCCGTTGTCTTTGAACAAAAGCTTCTCTCTTTTTTTGACATTTTTACACCATTTCCAGCCAAACTGTTGCCGGTTATGAGCCCAGCTCTGGTCCGTACCTGCGCTGGGTAGTCAGCAAGCCAATCACAGGCGGGTTACCGGCCATTTTCACGTGTGGGTCTGCACTGGCAGGAGTCAGCGCTTACACTCACAGCCAATATTTCTATCCACCTGCACAAGCCAGTGATGAAGTAGAAGTCTCTGCCTACACACACATGGAACTGGGAGAAATGTTGCTTACTGTTGTTTACTATGTACTCTACGTAAACGTTTTTCTCTGGGCCCCAGTACTCCCAACTGATCAGGGCCCCGTCATCTTCGAGCGACGAGCTAACGTTTGCAAAAGGACCCGCAGGCCGTGCTGCGCACAAGAAAAGAGACAGTCATCACGGTGGGCCTGCTGGTCATTAGACAAGCCAACAAGAAGCAATCAAACATGCCTCCGGTACAACCCATGCTACATGCTCTTACAGTAGAATTAGTGCTGAGAAAAATAACAACTGCCCCCAGAGTTCTTCAGTTTTTGACCTTTTTGTCACCTAAATGTTTGAAATCAGCAAACTAATCTAAACATCAGACAGTCACCCTGAGTAAATACTACATATTGTCTACAGCTGACTATAAGGACCACACGCAGGCCTGATCACTTCCAGAATGATGGGATTATTATTAATATGATTAAACATCATAAAAAGCAACAAATCATGCTTTCATTCTAAATGAATTCAAGAATGGTAGAACACATAAAGCTAGAGGCCTCCCTTGATTTAGGCAAAGGTCAGAGTTCACGATCTACCAGCAGGAAAGAGACAGAGGCAATCATATCCATGGGAAGAGTTTGCTGACCAAATCTCCCATCTCCAAGTCTTTTTGGACAAATGTGTTGACTGAGGAATAATCAGAGCCGCATTTCAGAGAAAGACCATCAAGCCAACAGTTAAAGATGGAGGTGGTATGATGGCCAGGGGTTGCTTTGCACTTTATCTTAGGGCCTGGACCACTCAAGCCTGGTTCACACGGCAGGATAATCATGCCGATTTCTGACCAATCCCGCCCTTAAGGATATGAACAACTGACGTAATGGCTCTAAAGTGAATCTTATCAGATAATCCTACCTTGAGTGGTGTGTTACAAACACTCTGGTCTACCCGGAAAGACCTTGAGACTGCTCCGATCACAAATTCGGGATTTGAAACACGTTGGAATGTTTTGGTCAGTTTTTCTGGAACAAACAAAGTTCCTGCAGGTTGAATATGACGTGTAGCCGAGAGCTAGATGACAGACGTGCATGGTCCGCTCCTCCTCCACCATGTTCGTTTCAGTCACATGTTATCTTGCAGGGCTTCCCATCTGAGAAGGGAATGTTTGTGAGAGAAAGTGTTTGCCGAGCTGCTGCTCACCACTCCCTGGTTTATCTGTGATTTATTTTATCACCACCTGTCTGGTCTCTCATGACTATTCACTGTTCACAGTGATGTGATAAAATTCTTACACTTAAACGCTCGATTGCAACTATCTTCCTTTGAAAAGAAATATTAAAATGTCTCATAACCAAATCTGATTGCTGATCTCAAACAATCAAGTTTGACAAAACAATCAAAACAGAATAAGTCTACAAGGGGTTGAATGGTTTTTCGCTGCACATCAATAAAAACTGGAGCAATCCCCCATAAACACAACATATCTAATAATCCACTAATGAGACATGCAGTTTGCTAACATCACAGCAGAGTCTGTACCCTTGTGGATCGGGCGATGATGAGGAGACTGTGCAATAGGGCGAGAGGTTTGGGTGTTGCCTGTGAACAACATCAAGAGGGTAAACGTTGCAAAACACACACACACACACACACACACACACAGACATGCACAAGATAAACACTCGCATTTTCCTCCTGAACAGACACAGCATACACCATCGTGAGCACTCAGTTCACTAGCATGCCATGCAGCAGGGAAAGCAACCAGCAGGCATTGTGGAAGTGGTATGAGGGAGTCAGAGTTTCCAACAGAGAAGCAGCAGGACAAACTTATCTGATGTCATTAGACACAACTGAAAATGCACATGTCACATTTCACCTTTATCTCAGTGGCTTTGGACTCAGGCAAACCGTTTGTTGGGTCAAAATGAAGGTTTTTAAGGATGAGGGCTTGTTTGTGGATGAGTTTTGTCACATTTTAGTCTGTCTGAAGAGTAAGTGTCTGTGTAGACATAGCCTGTGAGGTTAAAAGAGAGGAACTGGACCAGCTGAAGCAAAAGGACAGGGTTACAGCGGGCCTTGACATCCCTCAGCTGGTGTCATTCTAGGATCAGTGACATTTAAGTGGGCATGTTGAGCCACGGCAATGAGGACATTTATTTCAAACCAGCCATAACAATGCAACTGGATGTCATTACATGTACATATAGTATTTTGAACTCTAAATTTTACGATAGGGAGCCTAAATCACGCCCATCTACTTCTGCACCACGGGTCCCCGGAAGAACGAAAAAATGAATGCAAATCAATGAGGCTAAAAACGCTATTTTCTAATTCCGCTTGTTTTGTGCTATGGATTTTACATTTTGATACCAAGAACGTGCTTATTTTCAAACAGGGGGAAACGTTATTTTAGATTTTGTGTGGAAATAAGTCCAGGACTACAAATGCGCTTCACGAAAGTGGCGTCATCGAACCAGACACGGAGAAAGCTGAGGGAAAAGGTTTGTAAGTTCAGCTAACTTCCCACAGGAGGAAAGAACCACCATAAATCTGGTCATGCGGTAAGTAGCAGCTACTTTGGGGAGGGGAGATCATGTGGTGACGTCACATATGCGACGTGCCGATTTCTAGTTTTTAGTCCTGCTAATTACGAACTTTTACAAGCTAATAAATCTCTAAGTACGTGACTGGTGTGGTCAAAACACCTATCATTACTTTTCATTTCATATGTGCAATCCACAGGGCCTAATGCTACGCGTATTAGAAAATAGCGTTTTAACCCCGATGACTTGCATTCATGTTTTCGTTCTTCCGGGGACCCATGAGTCGACCGGAAAGGGAGGAGACTTAGGCTCCTAATTCTGTCTTTTAACCCTCTGGAGGCAGGCGTTGCAGATTTGCAACAGTTAAAACCTATCTACCTGGCTACTCCACATATGTATTTCATGAGCATTTTAACTCAGAAGTACCCCTGAAGGACTTAGTTGTTCGTCCTTTTATCAAAACTTATTTGAGCCTGAGAGGGTTAACCAAGCCAAACAAAAACAGAGCTCAAACTAAAACTTATTTAGGCGTTGGCTAAAACCTATTATAAAACAGCCATCTGAGGTGTTGTTCAGAAAACGTAGCGTTAAAAATTGCCTGTTTTGATGGCCAAACGTCTTTACCAACAATTCAAATTACAGTCATTATAAATAAGAGCAAGCTTTTTATAGGGGAGATGAAACAACGCTAATGTGTTTAAAAAGTGGTGCATAGTTACTAATTTAGCCTAATGCATAATTTGGCCTGTTTCTAAAGTAAAAAAGTTTCACAATAATTTCAGGGCTGGGAGGCACTTTTCATCGTGAAGTAACAAATTGTCAATCAGACCACCCACCCAGCAGAGCCTGAAGAGTTAAACATGCTGAGAGGCTCACTTTAAGCTTTACTGCCTGAATCCTGACAGTTTCTTAGATAAAAACTGTGTTATCAGCCTTCTACATTCTCTTCTCACTCAAAATGACAGATCCAAGGTAACATTTATAGATATTTTGGTCTGGTACTAATGGCATAACTTAAATGGTAGTATTTGTCATTTTTGCAAAGATAAGGTATAAAGTTTACGAATGCATGGAAGTAGAAATGTGATTTTAGGTTCCTATTTAGTTTATAATAATGGATAATGGTAAAAAAAAAATCAAATATTCCTATTTTTATGGGTAACAATGGCAGCAGAGTTAAGTGCCTGCCCCATAACAGGAGGGGTGCAGGTTCGAGCCCCATGTGTTGCAGTTGTGTCCTTGGGCAAGACACTTAGCCCTCCTTCCCTGCCTTTGGTGGTCGGAGGGCCAGTGGTGCCTGTACTTGGCAGCCTTGCCTCTGTCAGTGCACCCCAGGGTAGCTGTAACTACACTGTAGCTCATCACCACCAGTGTGTGAATGTGTGTGTGTGCATGGGTGAATGATTGGTTGTGTTGTAAAGTGCCTTGGGGGGTGGTAGAAACCTAGAAAGAGCTATATCAAATACAAGCCATTAACTATTTAACGTGAACCTATCATCTAAATCTTTGGAGTGTTTTTCTTTTAGCTATCTGCGTTTGTTTGATAGTCTCCCGTTTTGTCTGCACTGGCTGACTTACCTTCATCCATGATGGTGAAAGCTTCCTGGGAAATGGTTGGACCTGCTCCTCTGTTTGTTTTTGCATTCAAAACAAACTTGTAGCGTTTGCTGTACTTGAGGTTGTGCAAAGTGACTGAGGTCTCATTGGCGGGCAGGGCCATCTCCTCCTCTGGGCCCAGTTCATTGGAGTTATTGACTACAAGAGTGATGGATGGAAGACAGCAGTGGTGGGATGAAGGAGGAAGTTGGAAGGCAGCAAGTTGAGTGGAAATATAAGGAGGATGAGGGGGGTGTAGATGGGGTGTCAGTGGTGAGAAAGATGAAAATGGAGGGATTTGGGTGTGGGATTCAGAAACAGATTGCAGGGATGACCAAAGATGACTTGTTAATTTGTGTTGTAATTATAAGGAGAAAACATAATGCTTCAGACTTCCTGTTATTCATCTAATAACTTGAATAGAATGAAAGGCATGAGAAAGAGTGACATAAAAACTACATGAAGGAGGCAGTGTTAATTTTGACAAGCACTTTTAATTTAGTTTTAGTCTTTTGATTAAAATTGTCTTTAATTTTAGTCACAATTTTGTCATCCAGTTTGTTGTAGTTTTAGTCTTATTTTAGTCGACTAAAATATATGTATATTTCTTCTGATGCAATCATTTTCAATGACTGCAAAGAAAATGTTAACTACACCTACTTGAAACTGTAAACAAATATGTAAAATTCACATTTCACACTTTGGATCAATACAACTATAGTTATAATTGTTTCTATAAGAATAATTATTGGAAAATACCAAAATGAACACTGACAGTTTGAAATTATGCCTCTCAATATTAATGAAATAAATAAATCTGTATAATGCACAGTAATATACGTAAACATGACAGGAAATGACATCATACCATCAAAACATGAAAAGGTTGCTCTAATAATGTGGAGGTTAAAGGTAAGAATTGCTTTCAGGTGTATTTATTTCTCCTCACAAAACACTGCTGGAACACCGAACGCTGATCATAACGGCCATGGCAGCGCCGCGACAAGAGAAACAATTAGAAAACAAGATGTGCGGCGCTTTGATCTGCGAGCTTGGTTTGATTTGGTGAGCTCCAGCACCAGCAGTCAAATGCTCCTGACATCTCCATTCAGATGGTCTACTGCTTTTACTCCCAGCGGCGGGCCCCTTTAGACATAAATTTTACCGGCATAGACATCAGATATATGATTACCGCTAGCTTGTTCAAACAGCAGCCGGCTCTGGACTCTGATTGGTTCTTTTCTCATCTAGTCACGCCTGTTCCATTTGCTGATTGGTTATTTTTTCCAGTCCCCCATCTTTTCCGTTTTTTGATTGGAATATTAGCTTCTGTAAATTTCCGTTGTCGTCTCTAATTCATCAACAAAAATGTCAGTCAATATTCATCATCCTTTAATCTTTACTGGCATGTATGTTTTAGTTTTTGTTTCCTTTCAGTCCACAAAATTTCATTCGTCATGAAAAAAAAGTTTTTTCATCAACGAAATTAAGACTGGAAGGAGGATGGCATCTATAAACTCCTTCATATTCTTCCATGAAGAAAACCAACAGACTCACCTGGCTGATATTTAAGGGTGTAACCAGTGATGTGTCCGTTGTGTTCAATAGGAGGACTCCATTCAAGGGTTAAAGCTTCATGGCTTTGGTTGGTAACAACCAGAGAGGCGGGAGGGCCAGGCACTGCAAAGATAGACAAAAAAGTTCTGTGCATACAGGAAAGCTACAGACTGCAGGAAAAATACATAAAAAGAAGACAGATTTATACTTTTTTTGATGTGATACTACTAGTTCACCTGTTGAATTAATTACAGATGCACTTAAATCCTGTTAAAAGGGAGTTTTCCTCTCCACTATCGCTACATGCTTGCATGAGGATGACACCAGTCAGTGGTTCCATGCAATCTGCTGGGTTCCTTATACGTATAGGAAACGTTTTATTCATTGGCTTAATGATCTGAACTTTATTGGAATGTTTACTTTGTGAAGCACCCTGAGACCACGCTTGTCATGATTCGGCGCTATATAAATAAACTGAATTGAATTGAATTTCACAGTTTAGCTTATTGCATTTTCTCTAACTCCATTTAATCAAAAATGTGTTTGATTAATTCATATTAGTTAGGCCACTAGGGCCCTGAGACTGAGAACTTGTGGGTTCAAATCCACAGTCGAGTCATACCAAAGACTTTAAAAATGATGCTCGGCATCAGAGGGTTTGATTGTGGGGTTAAACCACCAAATGGATCTTGAGAGCGGCTGTGTCTGCAGCTCACCGCTCCCCCTGGGGATGTGCCGAATGCGGAGAACGAATTTCACACATGTACTAGTGTGTGCGACAACTAACGGGACTTTAATCTTTATTGCAATCTCCAACTTGACCACTAGATGTCACTAAATTATACATGTTAGTCCTTTAAACTTGTGAAATTGAAATATTTATTGTTTTCATTTAACAGATGTTGTATGACTGAACTTTTAAGATAAAATGACATTTACAGCGTTTTGGTGACCTTATTTTCTTACCTCCCTCTGGTGTCTTAAAGCGCCCTTTCGGGCTCGGGGGACCCTCTCCTTTGCTGTTATACGCCTTTATCTCAAAAAAGTAGGCACTGAAGGGGTGCAGACCAGGCAGCATGCCATGAGTGTGGTTTCCACTGAAGGTCAGGATGTCCTTTTCCGTGTGATCAGGGTGGTGTTTGTGGAGGCTGTGCTCTCTCCAGTAATATACCTACAAAGGGCACATGACTGCTGAATTTGTGCATTTTTTAAACCGCAAAAACAAGAAGCACAAAAAAATCTAACTCGTTAGAAATTGAGATTGCTGGAAAGGCGGCAAATAGTTGGGATTGAAATTTGGTGATTTATGCTGGGATTTAACTCCTCTTCATTCACCTTAAGGTAATGAAGTGATTTAAATGATCTCTGCTTAATCTTTAACTGATAACTCCTCTTTTATCCATTGGTGCATTAATTAGCCTTGGAGAAAGATGGATTATTTAAATTTAGATTGGAATAAATGAACAAAAATGTCACTAGAACAGATTTTTAATTAGGGGTTTAAGAGTGTTGATGCTCCACCATGGCAGAGGGATGAAAATGTTTTAGCCTAGCTTGTTTTCCAGATTTGCCACTGTAGCTTTATGCTTTTGTTTCTATTGAAAAATGTTTGTGTATTTAATTTAAAAACATACCATTTATTTTATTTTAAATAGTATGCATTGATTGGCAGCGTCTCACTTTCTCTCCTACAATTTTTAGATTGCGATCTGCTAATGATACATTTTTCCTATCTTACAGAGCGTCCGTGGTATTGTACCTTGTATCCTTTGAGATGTCCTCGTACTGAATGGGGAGGTACAGGATCCCAGTGTACTCGTGCCAGAGTGCTATTTATAACTACAGCCCGGACGTTTTCTGGAACTGCTTTGGGCACTGTACAGTTGAGGGGCAAACAAACACAAGGACAAAGTAAATGTTACATCACCAAATGCATCGCCCCAGGCTCTTGCTTGTGCTGATTTTGTAAGAATCTAAAGGTCCACGGAGTCGGTCGAACTCACAGTCTTCTCCTGAGAAGCCGACGACAACAGTGGGCTCAGGTCCTGCCCCGTAGTTGTTGACAGCCTTAACTTTTATTTCATATGGAACAAATGTGGGTGTTCCAGATACAATGTACTTGGAATTGTTGGCTACGGTCTCTGTGGTCCACTCCATGCCTGGTCTCTTCTGCCTCCAGCTTACTTCATAGTGAAGGCCCGGACCATTAGACTGGAGACTAGAGAGAGGCTACACAGACACAATGTATTTAGAGAACTAGTGGACTATGCTATTACTGAAACATCTCTGAATCAAAAGATTCACCCTTGAACTACTTTATTACCTTCCAGGAAATTACAAGGTTGTCATGCTCTGTTCCAAATCCATGCACATCTGACGGGTTCTCATCTGGAGCTGAAAGACAGATCATTAAAGAAAAATCAACCACTTCCTGAAATAAAAGCAGCCATGTGGTTCAAATTCCCTTTCTCATTAACTCCTGAAATGAGGCATACGGTTGCTTTTGAAAGCAACATCGATAGTTCTCCAAAGTTTCCCAAAATTAAATTGGTAAAACATTAGTTTACCCTTCTGAGTGGTGCTGCATTTGTGCAGGGCTGATTAACGTGTGAAGATCCACAAAAGGAGGCAACAAAACACACGCGGTCAGCTCCGTACCTGCAGGATCCGTCTTGTACATTCGGGATGGGTGGCTTGGGTGGCTGTAACCGACAGAGTTAAGAGCTAACACTCTGAAGTTGTAGTGAACGTAGGGGGAAAGTTTCAGATGAGCTGTTGTTTCGGTTCCAGGAACACTTGTCAGGTTATGCCAGTGGCCTCGATGGTGCAGCGAGTCTTGGTACTCGATCAGGAATTCTGCATTAAAAATGAAAAATATTTTTTAATTTAATTAATTGTTGTACACTAATTAATAATGCATTAGAATTACATTATTTTTCTATGTATACTGTTTAAAAACTAAGACTTCATTTGGAACTGAATAGAAATACATTTTTTAAAGAGTTTCATCCAGTTTTGAAACAGATTTGTAAATCTGGCCTTTCAAACTTGAATTGTTTGAACAAAAAACAGAAAAGTGAGGTGGAACAACTCTCTATTTAAACAAAGCGTGTGATGTCATGACCTATGCAGATTTATAACACACACATACGTTGAATGGGACTGTTATGTTCATCTCCAGGGGTCCAAGTGAGCTGAACGCTTCTTTTCTTCTGGTCTGTCAACTCCAGGTCAGTTGGTGGGTCGGGTTTTTCTAGGAGACAAACACCACATAAAACATGTTACTTTGTTATGTTTTAGTGCTTAAACAATAAAATAAGTGCCTAACGGAAAGCATGTTTGTTTTTAAATGCTCCATTCGATTATTGGATTTCTTCCACTGATACACATGCAGATGCTGCATCATGCATAAAAAATGACTGAAGCTTCTGTCTCACGCGCCACAGACCGATGCTCATGTTGTGATGAAAAAGTGAATTGCATGCTTCAAATAAATGAATAATGAGGAAATTTCACAAGAGGACGTGTCCTCCATCAAATCATCTTTGTTTACAATAGCAATGCTTTCTTTCTATGCCTTATGATTTATTTCTGTTATTTATTGCACTAAACAGGATTCTGCAAAAGCAGGAAGTCAAAAATGAAGAATGAAGAAAAAATACCACGTATGAGACAAATCAATTCTGATGAAACGAGAAATGGCTGAACGCTGTTTGGATGCCACTAACACGAAGCAGTTTCAGGTCCCAGCATGCTGCACTTAACAGACACAACCAGAAAACTTCACAATGACATGCTTTGGAGTAAATCTGTAGGTTCATGGGTGCTGCAGGTTTACCTGGTATGGCCTCTAAAGGTTGGAGAATAGAAGTGAAACAGGGAGTTTAGAGCCCAGTCAGAAAGCAAAGTAGAAGAATTGTCTGACTAAGGCAGAAATGACATGTTTGCTGACTCATTATGCCCTAAACACACATCCACTTCTGCTAATTGAGGCAGACTAAGGAAGCAGCAGCAGCTCTTGAAAAAGTATACTTAATTTTTTAAAGCAATGTTTTATTTATTTATTTATTTATTTATTTATTTATGGTCACAAGTTTTTTAAGCTCCCATAGAAAAGGATTACCAAACCAAAGGACTGGATGATTTTTGATATGCTGATATTTGAAGGATCTTCACCAGCCTTGGCCCACCTCCTACTGTGAGTGTTTTGCCTAAAGCCGGGCGCACACTGTGCGACTTTTTCACTCGTAGCACTCAGCTTCAGCTCAAACTGTACGACTTCCTCGCAAGGCAGATCTCACGAGTCATGTGCTCACACTGCACGACCCGATCTGACTGCTCACACTGTACGTCTGGTAGCAACACGTCGGCCCTAAAAATATGCTAAAAATTGCAGTTTTTACTCAACACGTCAGACTTTTTTGTCTTGTTTTGCCTGTTGTCCTTTGGGAGTGCTGCAGGAGGACACACAGGGATTTATGGGGGTTGGATGAGGAAAACGAAATAAAGGAAAGCAAAGCTGTGTTTTGTGATCAGTTTAATTTGACATGAACACGACAAACACGCTTTCTTGACAATCTTTGTGAGAAAAAAAAACGTGTAGAAACAAAAACGAACAACGTGTGTTATTAGGGAAACAGCGAGCGAGCGGTGTTGATGCATGATTGCACATGCGCCGTGAGCGGTTCTGATACTTTTTGGGTCGCAGCTGCTCGCAGCGCCGCTTCAACAGTGTGATTCCCTCACGAGGGACGAGCAAAATATTAAACACGCCACAAGTCCGTGTGAGCTCATGATTGCTGATCGGTAGCTGGTCACGTGGTGTTGATCGCCTCTCGTAACCCCCGTACACTACACGACGCTCGGCGCAAAACTCGCCCTGATCTCGTGGATTCTCGCACGAGTGGAAAATCGGCTCAAAAAGTGAAAAAGTCGCACAGTGTACGCCCGGCTTAAGAGGGTCACCAGGTCTCAGACCTAAGGCCTCTCTACAACCAACAATCATCAACCATAGACAGAGATAACCATGTCCCATAGTAACAATAACAAATCATCTCAGAGTGAAGAAGACTGTCGCCACGGACGTTTTTGAAAGACATGTTGGAAGAAGATTTACACAGACATGCTTAACAGGCAAGAGTCAAGCATTCTGTCTTTCACCACCAAAACAATGCTGGATTCTATAAACACATGGGTTGATGGTATTATCAAAGATGTGCAGGAGGTGAAGACTAGCCTTCAGGTCTCCAAAGCTCAAGTTGATGACCTCAAGGAAATAGAGAAGAAGGTTGACTCATTTGAATCTCATCAGCAGTAGCTGTCCTCCCTGGGCATCACCTCTGATATGAATGACCTTGCTTTAAAAAGTGATGCCCTTGACAATCAAAGTTGTCAAAATAATCTGATAATTGATGGTTTGACCCAAGATGATGCTTTTCAATCCTGGTCAGGCTCAGAGAAGAAGGTGAGGGAACTTTTAAATGACAAACTTAAAACAGATCCTAAAACAAATGCAATCTAAAAAGCTCACCGTGTTGGAAATGTTAGATGGCAAACAACAGCAAAACCAAAAAACAATTGTTGTAAAACTTTTCTAATCGAATCAAACTTTATTTATCAAGCACTTTTCCTACAAAGAATTCAACTCAAAGTGCTTTGCATATTAAAATGACCCTACATAACCCTCATTCGCGTTCCTCCCACAACAATTTAAACGCATTGACACAGTTGTACCATAGCCTCCATCCCCCAACTCCCATACACACACACCCTTAGAACATCAGTAAAAATTCTATTGGGCTGGGTTCAGATGAGCCAATTATGGTAGGTTAAGGAAACGGCATCAGAGGAGCCATCTGCCCCAGCAACAGCAGGCCAACTGCAGCAGCCAAAGTACCAACACTGGGTGCAGAGGGTAGGGAGGGCATAGGCCCCACCTCCACCTAAGCACTACCTAGGGAGCACCCAGGCAGCAACAGTCGACCACCACCCCCGAGGCAGAGAGCCCCCACAATATTTTACACATTTTATGCTACAAGGACAAAGAGCTAATTCTTACAAAGGCTAAACCTCATCTAGAAAGCACTGGCATCTATGTGAATGAAGATTTCTCAGACCGCATCAGGAAGAAGGGGGACGAACTGCATCCAGCCATGAAGCATGCCAGAGAAATGGGAAACTTTGCCACAATTAGCCATGACAAACTCATAGTTAAACCTCGCCACCAACAGCAGATGGCAACTACTAGTGATGCTTAAATCATCATCCGTGTGTAAATGTATGATTTCTTCTGATCCTGCTATATGATGAGTTTTCCTGACCCAGCCCAAAACAGCTTTCACCAATTACAGTATGATAGGTTTGGTTCATCTGAATAATTATTGTGAAAATACTTTCAATACTCAGATCTCAGTTTTAAGAACAATTCTTTTATCCATAATAATGTTCGTAGTTCATCTAAAAACTTTGAAGGCTTGTCCACTTGTCTTGGAAATTTAAATGATACTTTTAATATGATCAGACTAACTGAGACATGGCTGACTGATAACTCAGCTGGGAATTTTGATCTAAATCCTTCTAAACATGCTTATAGATGTAGAGAGGGAGGAGTGGGTGGAGGAGTTTCCTTGTTTATCAATTCTAGTTTACATTATAAACAAAGATATGACAATGAAAGTTGTTGCCATAGAACCAATTTGGTCATAATTTTGTGCATCTAGAGACCACCTAATCACAATCCTTCGGCATTTATTGCTGATATCTCAAATGCACTGGATATTATTTCTGCTGAAGAGATAAAACAAAATCTATAATGGGAGATTTCAATGTTAATATTGGAAATAGTGAGGGAATAAAGATTTCACTGACACTAGGAAAGGGTAATAAATCGAAAATTTATCATCGAAATTTCTGACTCTTACCGAGATAATTATTTCCATGTCAATAAATGTGATCATAAAAAATTAAAATATGTGTGTAGGTTGGCAACATTCATGTCCTTTTAAGAAGCTGTACCACCTTGAGTCACGTAAAAATGTGACTCAACGAAATACATGTGGCAGCTCCGTCTAGTGGACAACTTTTGTTTCTGCGCATACCTGTAGTTATCGTCCATTTATCATTATTGAGGTAAAATCCTCAATATATCATGATACTGATTTTAGGCCATATCGCCCAGCCCTATTTGACACCTTGTATTCTTATAGTTGTCACCCTACGATGACAGTTCCTACCAGAATCACAAGTACCACAGCAACTTAAATAGATACAATTTTTACTAATGTGTTTAGCAAGACTATAAAAACAGGAGTTTAATGTATTGATGTTGCTGATCACTGTCCCATATTCTTGATCACGCCCAATGAAAATGATAAGTGTCGTCCAGTAGAGAATCCTAAATGTAGAATATATGATTACTCAGGCCTATAATTATACTGTTCCCCATCAACCCATGCCTTCTAATCCCATATTGTCCAAGCCTTGGATAACATTGGTTATTATGAAGTCGCTGAAGACAAAAAAATCAATTATATAAAAAATATCGTACTTGTCCCACCTCATTTAATTCATCACAATTTAAGAAATACAAAACTAGATTAAATCACATCATGAGACGAGAAATAAATCCACTACCATAATGTTACATTTGCCAACTATATAAATAATGCCTTTTATCTATGGGGAACTATCAGTATTATTCTTAATAAAAGACTTCCTAAAAGGAAGCTATACCCAACGAATGTAGGATTGACGATTGTCTGGTCTCAAATCTGCAAAACATCACCAAAAAATGTTATGCTTATTTTTATTTAAGACTGGAAGGAGTTGCTGACTATTTTAACATTGTGCCTATTACTGAGGCTGAAATTAAAGACGCCATTATTCATTTAAAGGATTGCTTGCCAGGATACGATAAGATTGATGGCAAAATGTTTAATTCATTCAGCCTTATTTAACCAAGCCTTTACTTTATATTTTCTAATTTGTTTAGATACTGGAGTTGTTCCCAGACAACTATAAAGAGCAAAAATGACTCCAGTTTACAAAGAAGATGACCCTGCCATCTTTAACAATTATAGGCCAATTTTGGTTTTACCAACACTCTTTAAAGTTCTTGAAAAAAAATGGTGTACAAGAGATTAGGTGAATATCTGGACAAAAATAACATCTTATATGCTCATCTGTTGTTTTAGGAAAAAACATTCTACTTACGTGGCACACTGACAGACATAAATAAAGCTAAAGATAGGAAAGAAAGCACTCAAGGAATTTATCTGGATCTCTCAAAGGCATTTGATACTGTTAATCATACATTTTGTTGGAAAAACCTTCATATCTTTGTGTACGTCACAAATCCTTAAGACTGGTTCACCAGTTGTCTGACTGATAGATATCAGTCTGTTACCTATAATGGATTAGAATCCCCTTTCCTTCCTCTTCAATATGGGTAACCTCAAGGCTCCATTCTGGGAACCTTGTTATTTCTAATTTACATCAACGATCTCCCTAATGTTTCAGATAAACTTTCAAAAAATCGTATTTACAGATGATACTAGTATGTTTCACTCACATAAAGACCCAGTCACTCTTACAAAGGAAGTTAATGAAAAACTTGACAAGTTATCTACTTGGTTCAAGTCAAACAAACTGTCACTTAACAAAAAAGCAAGTTTTATATCATTTGGTAATAAATCTAGTTCACATAAATCTTCAATGACAATCTAAATTGATAAAATCCCCATTATGGAAGTCAGGTCTACTTGGCGCCCTAGTAGACGATTCATTATCCTGGAAACCCAACATTAGAGCCATTAGTACAAAAATAGCCTAAGTTACAGGTGTACTCGGGGGGAATTCAGCACCTGATTAATAAAAAGGTAGCAATGATGCTGTATTATTCAATGTTTTACCCATATATAAACTACTATAATGTTGTTGGGCTTGTACCTATCTAACTAAACTGAACTCCATTTTTCATCTTCAAAAACAAGCCTTGAGAATAATTTTTATTGTTGTTTATTGTCCATAAACAACTGTGGCAGTTCACTCATTAGGCCACCTTACTCCCGTACAACCCTGACTCAGTTTAGTGTTCCCTATAGAGGATAGAATGTATGGAACGGTGTTCTCGCATCATTTTCAGAACTTACAAAAAGTTTATTTGAAAAGGCCATAAAACTGATGCTATTAAAAAGATTCAACTTCCCATTTGGGCTAACGTTTCAGATTTGTGCGTTTTTATCATGATATGTCAATAAGGACAGTAGGAAGGAATACAAATTATAACTAACTTATTTTTGTTGTTTTTCTCACTTTATAATTGAATTTATTTTCAATTGTCAGATGTTGATGCTTATTTGGAGTTTGTCACATAATAGGCCCCTTGAGGGTTTTTCACATTTGTTAACATTTACTTGTGTATTGTGTAGTGTTAGAACCTATATTTGATCATTTTATTGGTTGTGTTTTTAAAAAGGTCTATCAGGTTCTAGCTGTATTACATACCAACAACAGTTAGCTTAGAGGTGGCTGAGTCGTGGTCCAGAGTGGTGTTCATGATGCAGGTGTACATCCCTGCATCCGCTTCCGTCACATCAGTAATGGTGAGTCTGTCAGATTCTACAATAAACCTACACAAAAAATCAACAGCAATTAGATTATTAGAAGAAAACGAAGTTGTTTAGCAACTATAGGGAACAAACTGTAAATAAGACTCCAGGTGATGAGAAAGTTCTGACCTCTCATCATCAGGAAGCTCTCCATCATCTTTGAGCCAGGTCATGGTGGGAATGAGTGACGGGTCATGTTTTACGGTGCACTCAAACACCACCGACCTGCCTCTCTGGACTGTTCTGTGCTCCGGCTGCTTTAGGATCCGAGTTGGTTCTGAAGGCAGAGAAATACTTTTAAACGCCAACAATCTTGGTAATTCTACCTGCCCCACTCAGCATGGCAAGCCATTTAGAGAGTCAAAGGTTTAGTCTAAAATCCTAAAGAAGTACACACAAACATTGGTCATAAAGAATGGCAAAGGGACTATTAAATGAATCATCTTTCAAAATATTTTCGAAACGACGTGTGTGGTGAGTGTAACTAGAGGAAACTCACCTTTGACCTCCAGGTGGACATGATTCTCTGAGTTACTGATGAAGTTGCTGGCTACACAGATGTACTTTCCACTGTTCTGGGCTTGAGCGACAGGGATCTCTAATGTGCCATTGCTGTGGAGGATGTAAGGATCTCCATCCAGGGTACTGGAGCTAGCGTCTTTGAACCTGAGACACAGAGGTGGTTTTTTTTAAACAAATGTATCAGGACCCTTTCCTCTGTTAAAGGTTCGTTACCTCACCATTTAATTTTGGGAATGGGCGATCCAAAGGAAGAGCAGTCCAGCAGGGCTTGGTGATTTTTGATGACCTGGTAGATTTTGTTGAATGGTGTCAGCACTCTGGGTGACTCCGCTGCAGTGAGCCAGAAGCAATTACTTCCATGTTATTACTCTTCACCAAAGAGTGAGGATAGAAAACTGCATTTGAATACAAAAGGTCTTACAGAGGACATTGACGAAGGCATTGGACAGAAGGTATCCATACTGGTTGGAGATGTTACACTGGTACACAGCACTGGATCCAGTTTGGACACCAGTGAAGATAATCATGTCGTCCTCCACTTTTCTGCTTAAATCTTCAGGTGAATCTGTTGAAGCACAACTGTTTTAAATCACAGCAATTTAATAATGTTGAAAAGACAGATGTGTATGGAGTGGTGCATCCAAGGGTGGCAGTAAGGGCAGTACAACTGGGTTACACAACAGCGTTTTTAGGTCATATTTATCTAGGCTTTTATTAACAGTTACATATTCTGGCCCAGATCCTGACAGATGGCAGCCCATTTTTTATGAATATTAACATTTTGATATATTTTGTGAATTTGGATTGGCATTTAGCTCTCAGAAGGATTATGGTCAGGGGAGTTTGCAAGCCATCAACCCCCCAAAATCACATGCTTGAATCTCTGAGCCACTGATCAACGTTGATGCATGGTGCAATGTTTCATCAAGACATCACCAAACTGGTCTTGGATGGTTGGGAGGAGTCCCTCAGGGAAGATGTTTAGGTACCATGCTTTTGTCATGCATTTATTCTGTGGTTACACTGTGTGTGTGTGTGTGTGTGTGTGTGTGTGTGTGTGTGTGTGTGTGTGTGTGTGTGTGTGTGTGTGTGTGTGTGTGTGTGTGTGTGTGTGTGTGTGTGTGTGTGTGTGTGTGTGTGGGTCCACATCCTTGGCTAAGAAGCAATCTAACTCCTGAAGACACAGGACTGATGTGTGTTTTGACATCAGAATTTTTTCACAACCTTCATAGCAGAGAAAACACTTGAAGCATAAAGCATCTGTATATTACAAAGCCCTTTCAGATGTAATAAGTCAGTGAATATTTATAAACGGTTTTAAAAGCCATTTGTGTGAGAGCAGCAGGTTAAACTCACTCTCTATGGGGATGCCATTCATGGCCCAGGTGATGGTGGGTTTGGGTATACCGCTGGCCCTGCAGGTCAGAACTCCATCCTCTCCTGGAGCCAGTACAAGGTTCTTTGGAGGGCCAATGATCCAATAAGGGGCAGCTGCAGGTTGAGCGGAGAGCAACAGCAGGGAGGAGAATTAATTACTGAGCACAATGCCCTGCTGGCATCGGTGCCTAAATCAATTAGGATACAGAGGAAGAGACGAGGATGAAGGGAGAGATGAAGAGAAGCAGCATCTGTTCTGGTTCAGATCTGATTCCCAGATGAAAGTCTGAACATGAACACACCTTTGACTGTGACACTGATGGTATGATGCACGGAGCCAAGCGGGTTCCTGGCTGTGCAGCGGTACTCTCCCGCATCGGACTCAGACACAGTCTTAATCAGGAGGGTCTTGTTAAAGTGTTGGAAGGATACTCGCTGTTCTGGAAGATCTCCGCTGACTTTGGTCCAGGATATGTCAGGGGTTGGACTGTATTCAAAACATAAAGGGTTTGTGGCACTTGAGGTACTCAAACATTCAACAACTGAGGATCCTGTGACTTACAGCCCTTCAGCGATACACTCCATCTCCAGTGTGTGTCCTCTCAGCACCATCATGGAGCTCGAGGGGCCAGATGGGGTGAGGAAGGTTGGCTTCCTGTCATCCGCTGGGGCCTCTGCAGTTGCACACAAACACACACACAAAGTGAGTCAAAAAGACTTGAGTTGGCCTTCTGCATGAGTTCAAACAGAAGAGACCCTCCACCACGCTACACAACGATGCTACGAAACCTCCGTGGCTCTCCGCTGCATGACTGTGTTCTCTCATGTTGTTGTATGCTGCTTCCTGTGTGTTGTATTTATTACTTGAGGAGAATGAAAGTATGTTTCAGTGTTTTCTCACACTGTTTAAGCATGAACATTGGAAAAAAGATCTTTAAAGCAATGAGAAGGGAAGCAGGATGAAAATGACAGATTGATTAATGTGGAGATTAAATCAGCCATTAAAGACAACAGTTTTTAGAAGACTGCATTTGCAAGTTTGACAAAAAAAATAAATAAAAATAAGACTTTTAACTTGTGAAAAGTTTAGGAAACTGAATCGGATCGACTTGTTTTATGTTTTTAAAATGATTCCCTTCTTACATATTATTTTGTTGCAGCTTTGACCAGCAGGTCAGCCACTAGGTCAAGGAACTGAACTTGAAGAAAAATACAACTAAACCAAAAAAATTGACATTTTTAATTAAAATACAAACATCACTATCGTACATTTTTGTTTCCTTGACAATAGTATTATCATTATTATTACACTAAATTACATTACAAAACTCGTTGCCTCAAATCAATAAAATAAAGGTGAAAAATACTAAAGTTTGTAATATTTTCTTTTGGCTTGGACATTAATAGTTAAAGCCCTGGTTTGATTTTCAAGATGTTACAAAATCAGTGAAGTTGAAAATGAAATCAGCATGCAATTCCAGTTAAGCCCTTTAAAGCGTAAGTAAACATTTAAAAGACTGCCGTGGTAATTTGGACAGAAGGAGTGATTCTTAGGGGGGGGGGGGGGGGGGGGGGTGAAAGTTTGGGTTAGTGGGTAAAGTCTTCAGGCCAATGTTAGGAACAGCCACAAGGGGGTGCAAGATCTCACATTTGAATGAAGCAGTCAGCATATAAATGAATAAAATAATAAACCCCAAGGATTAAGGTTAGAAGGAGCAGTGTTAGTGGGTCTGGAGCTCTAGGTTGGAGGTGGACTAAACACTAGAAGGTGTCAAAACTCACCACTAAATAAATCTGTGTCATTGTAAAAAGCTGCCATTGTGTCATTGATTGCATCCACTGCAACACAACAAAAAATAAATGAAGAATCACACATGCATCATGTTAAAATGATTAAATCATATTTGGACAACTTCAAATAAAAATGTTCAAACGAAGACCAACAGAACAAGACTTTACAACTCAGGAATGAATCGACATCTTGGGTTGACTGAGCTGGCTCTCAGCATGAGAACTGTAAATGAGAGAGGGATGAGAGCCGTCTTTGTTGCACGCAGAGAGCCACACAGAAGTGACAGCGAGCGTATGCTTAGCAGAGAGCGTAAAGATCTCTGACAATGTGTCTTTTGAGGGTTGATGATGACCACTGAGTGTCAGGGGACTGGACCTGAGACAGGAAACTGTTTTCCTCCCACACAGCCATGTTGGCACAGAGTGCGCTTGTGAGAACAAGATGGTTCTGGTGCACATCACAGGGAAACACGGTTGCTCTCTATTCGTCAGATTCATGCAGATGTTTATTACACTGAAGTGGGTTTTTGCTGCTTTTGTGTAAGAATCACACACAGAGTGTGACTTACGGTTGAGGACCTTGACGGTGATGGGCTGTTTCTGCTGGATGGTTTGTGTGTGTGTGAAGCGAGCGTAGCAGATGTAATCATTCCTGGTGTCCTCTCGGAGGACATTGGAGAAGTACAGGTCACCGTTTAGGGACTGGGACACCCTCTTGCTCTGAGGCAGCTTCTGAAAATCTAAAAAGAATTGTAACTATTTAATAAATATACATCATAATGTGGATAAACACACACAGTAGAACCCAGGAAGTCAGGAGTTATTTACTTTTACCCATACTGCCACTCAACTCCCCAATAAAGATAATGACAGAAACAGTGAGAGGCTTACTGTTATCCATCCAGAATATGATGGGAGGAGGAAGGCCTGCAGGAGGTCGACACGGCAACACCAAGGAAACGCCTTCCTGGACCACCATTGGCCTTATTTTGTCCTTTGACCACAAGGGGGATCCTGGAATTTTAACAGGATTACCAGTGTCATAATTTTATCTAATGTACTGCCTGATAATGATCTGTCATCAGCATAATGACTAAAGCGATGAGGTCAGGTGAAAGGAAGATGGCTGAGTCACTAAAAGCTACAGGAACATACAGCAGGGAATTCAACTCTGTTACAGCAGCCTCTTAAATAAAACATGCTGTTTGACTACATGCAAGCGTTACCTTCCATGAAACTCTTAAAGAGGGGAAATGCAACTTAAGTGATGATAAAAGAAAAATAAAACATGGTGTGATTCACGGCCTGTGTCAGATCAGTGGACTCAAAGATAAAACAGCCGGCAGACTGTACTCACTGGACTGTCTCACAACGATGTTGTTGGAAACAGCTGTTCCATGGCTGTTCCTCGCCGTGCACTGGTACACCCCCTCATAGTTTTCTGCCCTGGCTCTGCTGATGTCCACCTCCAGAGTCCCATGGTTTTGCTTCATGGTGACACTGGAGTCACTGTCAGTGTCGAAGTGGATTCCATCTTTTGTCCAGGAAAAACTGAAGATATCAGCGAAGAACAGAAGTGTGATGATGATAATCTTATAAAGCACTGAAACATTAAACATTGTTGAAAGATGTAGAACTCTGAAAAACCCTTTCTGATTATAATCGGTCACTTGGAGTTTTCATGCAGGCTAAACGTGAAATAGTCTCCTACACCTATCTCTTGTTTTAGCTTCTGATAGAAAATAGATGATGAAAGTCTAGGATTAGAAAATCCTGACAGATATATGCCACACTGTCACTTAGCATTCATGGACCCACCCATCTTGACTCATGACAGGGAAGGCTGTTGGTTTAGCATCCAGGAAACAGCAGAGAACATCTCAGCTAGTAGAAGCTAACTGTTAGCATTAACAACTCCACCACACAGCAAAAAACCTCCTCCAGGTTTGTGTTATTTGTGGAGATAAATCATCCATGTTGCATGACAGTGGTGGAGTCGCGTTGCTGTTATCCAATCCAAGCCGAGATGTCCAAATATCAAGAAATAAGACTCCAAATCCCGCCGTGCTGTCCCTGCTAATGCAAGTGCTTCTGGGCTTTTTTGCCCCGAGTATGGCTTGCAAGGCATTCATTCCTACCAGAGACCACTGCAAACGTATTGATGAAACAAGTTTCTCACCTTTTTAAAAAGTGTAACAAACGCTTATTTTAAAAATGCAATTTTAAGTTTAACAATGTAGAAGAGAGCGTTTCTGAAAAACGTTTGAAATCTTAATTTGAGAATAACGTTTATAATGTTCTACGTTGAGACGAATGCCACCAAACTATAAAAGAAAAGTAAGGTTCACGGTGGTGTGACGCAGGTTGACGCAGGGACATAATCACACTCGATTAAACATCTGTAAGATATCCCAAACCCATCAGAACTAACCTTATTTTGTTTTACCATAACCTAAACTGATACCACATTACCCCAAGCCTCTAACATGGTGTATTTGGATGAGGATCAAACTAAATAAAAATAGAAGTTCAGGGTTAAGAAAAGCATTTTGTCATTTGAACTCCTGTAATTAAATAGCACCAAACCTGCTTGGATGATTGAAATTAATCTGATGTTTCAGCCACAATCGGCCCTAACGCCATCAACGCACCATTTATTTTAAACTCTGAATGAACCTAAACTGAATTTCAGAGCAAACAGATGGAAACCTGCTGTGAGCTGGAGCTTTTCAGTTGACAGGCAGAAGGTTTTTTTTTCACTGATTTGCGTCATGAATTTTAAATCAAACTTGGTTTCTCCTCCTACCTGGGATGAGGGTTTCCTTTCGCTTCACAGTGAATCCTAATATTCTCTCTCGGGTCGATGATGTGGTCCTTTGGGGACTGTTGGGTTATTGTCGGAGGCTGCGGCACTAGAGGGGATCAAAAAGAAGGCTGGGTGGGGGGAGCTATATGACCTTTTACTGCATAACTAAGGCTCTTTCCACTGATGCAGCGACCACACAAGCAGCTATTAACAAACACATTTGGAGACTGCTCGAACAAAGGAAGCAGTTTGCTGACGTACACAACTTAAACAAGAGCATGCAGAACACTCAGGTGCATCTCGCTTCGCTGCAATTATCTGACTGGTATTGAGAGTCTGGGAGATCACTAATGACCGAACAATAGCACAAGAACTCATGCTGGGTGCAGAATCGCTCTATCACTGCAGAAATAAATAAAAAAATCAGAAAAAGCGGATGAAAAATAAGTCAGTGCATGCAAAAATCACTCCAATCAAACAGTCAAACAAAGATAGCAAATCAGCGCACACACACACACACACACACACACACACGCACGCAGGCTGCTAGCTCAGCCTTGTCACTGGGAATGTGCTCTTTTGAGACTTACATTCTTTCAGAACTTTAGTGTTTTTCCACCATTGAAACAGGAAACACAAAGAGAATATGACAGTGGGGAGAACCAAGTATTAGTGATGAAAAATTCCCTTCCTGTCAGATTCCTGCTCCACTGCAAGGTTTGGAAAAGGCCGGTTACTCCCAAAGGAGAACCGGCCTCTAGTAGGCAACTTTTGCAAGCAACAAATAAGTCAGATGACTGCCGGAACATCAAATCAGACACGGGGTCAAACATTCCTGCATATAACAAGACTATAAAATACTATAAAATAACTTTTAAAGGAAATATTTAGACTCCAGCTACCAATACAAACTGTTTATAAGAGACTAAATTATTTATCATTTAGTTAGCAGGATATTTGATTTGTACTAGGTCAGTTAGCTAAGGTAGTAAAATTAAAGCCCCTCATGGTGAGTTTTTCCTTCTAAAAGCTCACGCTTAGACAGAAATATAAGGGTCATCACTAGTGTATGCCGCTAGCTTTTCCTGCTCCTTACTCGTGTTGATTTGTTAAAGAAACACTCGGAAATGCTTTATTATTAAAGACAAATATATCAATCTAACAACGTACTAACTGTGTTCCGTTCTAACACCAAAAGTACATCTAATAACATTTTCTTGAAGGCAGGTCTGTAGTTTGTTGTCTTACGGTCTAATGGGACCTCCAGCGCAGTGGCAAGCTGTCCCAGAATCAACACCAGCAGCACTGCCTCCATCCTCCTGTTTTCCATCATCGCTGTGTCACAACGGTCTGCCCTCAAATACGACGAAGCCCCGCCTCTCTGCTGCTCAGGCACAATGTCTGAGGGCACGTGCACAACTGCAGGGAAGAGGAGAAAAGAAAGTCAGAAGAAACCAGAGATCGTCAGAGACGGGAGGCTAGAAGCTGCATCCCTGCAGAACAAGCCTCTGATGGTTACAAACACTGAAGCGATGGCCACAGATCAATGCTAGTTGCCATGAACTGCATTTTGCTTGGAGCTCTTTTTGATCTAGTGCACTCCGACCAGGGTGGACAGGGCCCACACGGGCTCGTTCGGTTAACTCATCACATGACGCCATTAGGCTTTGCTGCTGCGTCGATAGCAACCTGCAGCAGATGACACATCAAGGTTCGACACGTGAGGACACCCTTTACGTTCCGTTCCATTTTCCTCTCAGTTTTAGCAATTCAAAACAAGTGCCAGCTGCAAATTGATCTGCAGCGAGGTCAGCTTTCAAACATGGGACCATGACACTTTCATGAGACTGCTATAGGAGGAAATGTCAGGTGGGACAGCAGATCTCAGATCTATGGCTGTTAAAGTGGGATGGAACAGGACTACCAGGGTGTCTGCATATGCAAACAATCATTCATTTTCCCTCATTAATCTGGGTTACAGGTCTACTTCTGGCTTGATCACCTGTTTTTGAGCAAAATCTGATGAGACAACAAAACAAAGCAGATATATTGCGCTGTAGGCACGGGCAGTGACTTAAATTAATAATAGATACAACACTAAATAGCTAATGCAAATGTTGCTTTGATAGGCACCTCGTTTCTTTTCCACAGGAACCTGCAGAAACACACTGCTAACATTATCGAGTCCTTTAATCAACATGGGGATCTTTTAGGCAGGGGTGTAATTTTTTTAGCACATCTGCTGAGAAAGACTTGCTGTCATTGAGCATATCAGCTTTAGCAGTTTTATTTTGAAAGGATTACAATAAACAATGGCTGTGAGTAGGATACTGCTAGAATACATGGGCACGCCTCTACAATGATCCACCAGACAGCAGAAAATAGAGAAACATAATAATCCTGACAGGCAGAACACATGAATAGCATCTGTATACGCACACGCTGAGCAGAGAAATCTAGCAGGTCAAAGTTCAAGTGGGGGTGTGCGTAGATCAGCTCCATCATCAACTATTTACATTTTGAGAAGATCAATGACAGTTATTGCTCCATTTTTTGTGTGTAATTTGTCAACAAAGTGCAATCAGCATGTTGTTTCTACAGGTGTGTGTGTGTGTGTGTGTGTGTGTGTGTGTGTTTGTATGGGAATGTGTTTAAACATTATAATAAAAACTCAGCAATCACCTCTGAACTTCAAAAGATCACAAGTCACAGTAGACATGTCTCACTTGTTGCCAGGCAGCTCGGCATTTCCACATCTTTTGACAGAAGCAATTATAATTTAGGACGAGGCTAAAGTAGAAAGAAGCAAATGTTGACACCTGGAGGTAATCAAACTCAGGGTGCGCTGCGTAGAAAACTTCAGTAACTGATAAGCACTAAAATCAAACCGACTTTGCTTCGCTGGGTAGATAAAATTAAACGATACTGCAAAGAAATCACCTGAATGTGAGCTCAGTCCTCAGGTGAGTGGATGAATCATTTTCTCCTTTAATGACGGTGGCCTGGCCTGTTTTCTTTTTATCTTTCCTCCTCGCCTGCCTGACGCAGGGCGTTTCGTTGGTGTATTAACATGTCACAGCTTCATTTGGAGCTCAGGCGGAGCAATTTGCGGCTTTATCAGAAAGCGCATTATCAAATTTGAGATATTAATGATGCTTACAGTTTAAAGGACTCAAACCTGCCTTTTAGAGGCAGGGCTGGATATTAATGTCCTGCCTTTGGGCAGAACAAGGCTTTGGATGAGATGGTGGATGTGGTGTCTGGGTCCAGAGGCTAAACCATCAGACCTGGTTCTAGTCTGATCCGCTAAGGGGAGGGAATGTTTTTGTTAGTGCCGCCCTGGGGTCGTGATTCAGTTCTGGCTCCCAAAGCTGGTGTCTCATGGATTGGGAAGGAAAAAAAAAAAGCCTAATGTCTGGCACCTCCGGCTTCAACTACACGTCTCCTGGGAAGGCTGGTATTGTTCGCCCGGATCAGCCAGTCACGAAGATGTGTGCACCAAAGGGCAGGTCTGGCTGGGGATTTGACACACAAAGATCCGGGGGATGGTTTGATCGAGCTAGTTCTGAAGGCTGCCGGCAGGGCTGCAAAACCTCAACACACTCTTTTCTTCATTATTTATTTCCCACATGTTGTGTGAGATTTATGCTCAGAGGAAAATCCAGTCAAGGTGACGACTCCCCTGCAATGATTTCTCCCAACGAGTCCCTCCACATATAGATGTTTTATACTAAAAGCGCTTGAATTGATACATTTTAGGTGACATTAAAAACAACCCCCTACTGTGACGGTAGGAGCATAAATGGGATAACTGTAAAATTTTATGGAGAATTCCCTAAAGCCTGGAGATTCTTATCTGAAATGGAGCCAGGACTCCATCCAGGATTCATTTCCCAATTTAATGAGGTGTAGCAGCTCAGCTTCAGCCGGTCAGCATGTGTGTGCCTTCATGTGCGTGCCCGTGTTCACGGATCGTGTGTGTACAGTAAGTGTGTGTGCTATAATTATACCAGTGAGCTGCAGTGATACGGAGCCATGCGGTCACATCCCCATCGCAGCAGGATGACGGTGGAAATTCAAGCAAGGCTTCCAAGACCTACAGACCAACCGCCAGAATAAGACTTCAAGAAAAACGTAGACAGACTCTCTTCAAAATATTATACTTGCACTTTTAAGTCTAACATGTTTCGTTTAAGGCTGCAGCTTGCTGCAAGAGCTTTTTTTTCTTGTTCTAATGCACAGTCCTTCAATGAGACACGAATATCTGTCTCTGTTGTCAGAGGCTCTTTTGCATCCTGTGCTGACAGAGATGGGAAAGCCAAAGTCAATAAAGCTCTCTTGCCGAGGACCAGATAAATCTAGAGTAGGGTTTGTAATGCTGTGCCAAAAGCTGTTAGACAGCCGATAACATCGAACAGGAAATGGCCTCTCAGAAAGAGACAGCACATGACAGGTTGGTAATGGCACGTCAGATTAGTATTTTTACATCTATTTTTCAAATAAGGTGAAGTGATGAAAAACCCTGCAGTCATTTTTTTCTGAAAATACTTTCATAATTATAAAAAAATATCAAGCCGCTTACGGACCTGCAACAGTCAAATGAGATGTTTTTGTGTATGATTAAAAACACACGGTGTAAATGTTCTTCCTTTTGTCGGTATTAAGGTTTTGTTTTTGTGTGCTAAAAGGTGTTATTGCTAAATCCTGAATTGCTAAGTTGTGTGCTGATAGAGAGTACAATAAAGACTACAATAAAGAAAATAGCTGATGTGGTGCCAAAATCCACTTAAAAAACAGAAACCAAAAACAATAGAGTTAGAGGCGAAATGGGATGAAACAAAAGATACTGGAGCGCTGGGAGAGACATGCAGGCAACAGGTGAGAAACAGGTGAAGACGCTGGGAGAGCAGGATGAGCAGGAGGAAACACAAACTGAAAAAACACTAAACACTAAACAACAACAGAATAAACATGACTAACCCACACCAAAAAATACTATTCCATGACATTCTGTCCATCCATACAGTTTCTTTGCCCGCGGGGGGCTGGTGCCTATCTCCAGCGGTCTCCAGGCAAACAGGTGGTACGTCCTGGACAGGTTGCCAGTCCATCGCAGGGCAGCACAGAGACGCACAGGACAAACAAACATACACACACTCGTACGTAAGGACAACGTAGAGAGGCCAAACAACCTACAGTCATGGTTTTGGACTGTGGGAGGAAGCCTGAGTACCCGGAGAGAACCCACACGTGCACAAGGAGAACACGCAAACTCCACGCAGAACGACCCCAGGCCGGGTTTTGAACCCAGGACCCTCTTCCTGCAAAGCAACAGTGCTAACCACTGAGCCACTGCAGCTTGACATTCTGTCCTTGGGTTCTCAATCGTATTTATGTTTATTTTTATATATTCAATCAAGATGAGTCCTTTAAAAAGAGGCTCACGCTTGTATCATCTACACAAATCTGGTTTGACCAACTGTAAAAAAGCATGAATACAAACTATTTATTCATCTGATATCTTTTAGATTAAATCTGTAAGATGTTTGATTTTTCATTTCATTTAAACTGTAATTAGAAACAAAAACAAGAATCTGACTAAATAATTAATAAATAAATAAACTCAACTAACATCTAAATGACAGTTTTGTGTTTATTCAAACTACAAGCTTGTGTAAAAAATTTAAACTACCATTAAATAAATTTGCAGTGGCAGCAAAACTAATTAAACTCGAATAAACAACCTAATCATAATTGACATCAGCATAAGTGAAAGGCTGCCGAGTCTCCGGCTACATGAGACCACCTTCACACAGATCCGTCTTTTCTCTCCACTGATGAAGAAAAACACTCTTCTCTGTCAAAGATGCATTGAGCTGCCCGGCCTCTCGCTCCGCCGGCCTCTTCAATTACTCCATTGTTATTTTCCCATAGCCAGCTACTTCACCATCCCAAAACTAATTGGTTTTGTGAACATGTCACAAATGTCCACACACACACACACGGACATGTCTGAACACACACAGATGAAGGTGTCAGGGGCACAAGGACTGAAAATGTGAGCTGACCACAGTGTAAATGAAAAGCACTCAGCAAGCAACAATCCCTGTGTAATTCCTGCAACAAGGAGAGTAAAACTACATCTTGTGCTTTTAAGATAATCTCCAGAAACTATGCAACTATTACCTACCCAACATGCAACCCTACAACCCAGAAAGACTGGCTGCCGTTGCATCAGAAGTCTACATATTTATCATCTTTGATAAAAGACGAGCATTTCTCTCATGTCCTTAATTAACTCCCATAATCAGTGCTATTGATGGCTCACGCAATCAGGGGTTTGTGAGGCCTGGTGCCTGATGGAGCAGCAGGGAACCCCTACAGGCAAATGAATGGGGTTGGGGGGTTGGGGGGGGGCG